GACAGGTAGCAGCCCCTCCCACCTTACTGTCCCTTCAGACAGACAGGTAGCAGCACCTCCCACCTCACTGTCCCTTCAGACAGACAGGTAGCAGCACCTCCCACCTTACTGTCCCTTCAGACAGACAGGTAGCAGCACCTCCCCCCTTACTGTCCCTTCAGACAGACAGGTAGCAGCCCCTCCCACCTTACTGTCCCTTCAGACAGACAGGTAGCAGCCCCTCCCACCTTACTGTCCCTTCAGACAGACAGGTAGCAGCCCCTCCCACCTTACTGTCCCTTCAGACAGACAGGTAGCAGCCCCTCCCACCTTACAGTCCCTTCAGACAGACAGGTAGCAGCCCCTCCCACCTTACAGTCCCTTCAGACAGACAGGTAGCAGCCCCTCCCACCTTACTGTCCCTTCAGACAGACAGGTAGCAGCACCTCCCACCTTACTGTCCCTTCAGACAGACAGGTAGCAGCCCCTCCCACCTTACAGTCCCTTCAGACAGACAGGTAGCAGCACCTCCCACCTTACTGTCCCTTCAGACAGACAGGTAGCAGCCCCTCCCACCTTACTGTCCCTTCAGACAGACAGGTAGCAGCACCTCCCACCTTACTGTCCCTTCAGACAGACAGGTAGCAGCCCCTCCCACCTTACTGTCCCTTCAGACAGACAGGTAGCAGCACCTCCCACCTTACTGTCCCTTCAGACAGACAGGTAGCAGCCCCTCCCACCTTACAGTCCCTTCAGACAGACAGGTAGCAGCCCCTCCCACCTTACTGTCCCTTCAGACAGACAGGTAGCAGCACCTCCCACCTTACTGTCCCTTCAGACAGACAGGTAGCAGCCCCTCCCACCTTACTGTCCCTTCAGACAGACAGGTAGCAGCCCCTCCCACCTTACTGTCCCTTCAGACAGACAGGTAGCAGCCCCTCCCACCTTACAGTCCCTTCAGACAGACAGGTAGCAGCACCTCCCACCTTACTGTCCCTTCAGACAGACAGGTAGCAGCACCTCCCACCTTACAGTCCCTTCAGACAGACAGGTAGCAGCCCCTCCCACCTTACTGTCTCTTCAGACAGACAGGTAGCAGCACCTCCCACCTTACTGTCCCTTCAGACAGACAGGTAGCAGCCCCTCCCACCTTACTGTCCCTTCAGACAGACAGGTAGCAGCCCCTCCCACCTTACTGTCCCTTCAGACAGACAGGTAGCAGCCCCTCCCACCTTACTGTCCCTTCAGACAGACAGGTAGCAGCACCTCCCACCTTACTGTCCCTTCAGACAGACAGGTAGCAGCACCTCCCACCTTACAGTCCCTTCAGACAGACAGGTAGCAGCCCCTCCCACCTTACTGTCCCTTCAGACAGACAGGTAGCAGCACCTCCCACCTTACTGTCCCTTCAGACAGACAGGTAGCAGCCCCTCCCACCTTACTGTCCCTTCAGACAGACAGGTAGCAGCCCCTCCCACCTTACTGTCCCTTCAGACAGACAGGTAGCAGCCCCTCCCACCTTACAGTCCCTTCAGACAGACAGGTAGCAGCCCCTCCCACCTTACAGTCCCTTCAGACAGACAGGTAGCAGCACCTCCCACCTTACAGTCCCTTCAGACAGACAGGTAGCAGCCCCTCCCACCTTACTGTCTCTTCAGACAGACAGGTAGCAGCACCTCCCACCTTACTGTCCCTTCAGACAGACAGGTAGCAGCCCCTCCCACCTTACTGTCCCTTCAGACAGACAGGTAGCAGCCCCTCCCACCTTACTGTCCCTTCAGACAGACAGGTAGCAGCCCCTCCCACCTTACTGTCCCTTCAGACAGACAGGTAGCAGCACCTCCCACCTTACTGTCCCTTCAGACAGACAGGTAGCAGCACCTCCCACCTTACAGTCCCTTCAGACAGACAGGTAGCAGCCCCTCCCACCTTACTGTCCCTTCAGACAGACAGGTAGCAGCACCTCCCACCTTACAGTCCCTTCAGACAGACAGGTAGCAGCCCCTCCCACCTTACTGTCCCTTCAGACAGACAGGTAGCAGCACCTCCCACCTTACTGTCCCTTCAGACAGACAGGTAGCAGCACCTCCCACCTTACTGTCCCTTCAGACAGACAGGTAGCAGCCCCTCCCACCTTACTGTCTCTTCAGACAGACAGGTAGCAGCCCCTCCCACCTTACTGTCCCTTCAGACAGACAGGTAGCAGCCCCTCCCACCTTACAGTCCCTTCAGACAGACAGGTAGCAGCACCTCCCACCTTACTGTCCCTTCAGACAGACAGGTAGCAGCCCCTCCCACCTTACTGTCCCTTCAGACAGACAGGTAGCAGCCCCTCCCACCTTACTGTCCCTTCAGACAGACAGGTAGCAGCCCCTCCCACCTTACTGTCCCTTCAGACAGACAGGTAGCAGCCCCCCCCCACCTTACTGTCCCTTCAGACAGACAGGTAGCAGCACCTCCCACCTTACTGTCCCTTCAGACAGACAGGTAGCAGCACCTCCCACCTTACAGTCCCTTCAGACAGACAGGTAGCAGCCCCTCCCACCTTACTGTCCCTTCAGACAGACAGGTAGCAGCACCTCCCACCTTACAGTCCCTTCAGACAGACAGGTAGCAGCACCTCCCACCTTACAGTCCCTTCAGACAGACAGGTAGCAGCACCTCCCACCTTACAGTCCCTTCAGACAGACAGGTAGCAGCACCTCCCACCTTACTGTCCCTTCAGACAGACAGGTAGCAGCACCTCCCACCTTACTGTCCCTTCAGACAGACAGGTAGCAGCCCCTCCCACCTTACTGTCCCTTCAGACAGACAGGTAGCAGCACCTCCCACCTTACAGTCCCTTCAGACAGACAGGTAGCAGCACCTCCCACCTTACAGTCCCTTCAGACAGACAGGTAGCAGCCCCCTCCCACCTTACAGTCCCTTCAGACAGACAGGTAGCAGCCCCTCCCACCTTACTGTCCCTTCAGACAGACAGGTAGCAGCCCCTCCCACCTTACTGTCCCTTCAGACAGACAGGTAGCAGCCCCTCCCACCTTACTGTCCCTTCAGACAGACAGGTAGCAGCACCTCCCACCTTACAGTCCCTTCAGACAGACAGGTAGCAGCACCTCCCACCTTACAGTCCCTTCAGACAGACAGGTAGCAGCACCTCCCACCTTACTGTCCCTTCAGACAGACAGGTAGCAGCCCCTCCCACCTTACTGTCCCTTCAGACAGACAGGTAGCAGCCCCTCCCACCTTACAGTCCCTTCAGACAGACAGGTAGCAGCACCTCCCACCTTACAGTCCCTTCAGACAGACAGGTAGCAGCCCCTCCCACCTTACAGTCCCTTCAGACAGACAGGTAGCAGCACCTCCCACCTTACAGTCCCTTCAGACAGACAGGTAGCAGCCCCCTCCCACCTTACAGTCCCTTCAGACAGACAGGTAGCAGCCCCTCCCACCTTACAGTCCCTTCAGACAGACAGGTAGCAGCACCTCCCACCTTACAGTCCCTTCAGACAGACAGGTAGCAGCCCCTCCCACCTTACAGTCCCTTCAGACAGACAGGTAGCAGCACCTCCCACCTTACAGTCCCTTCAGACAGACAGGTAGCAGCCCCTCCCACCTTACAGTCCCTTCAGACAGACAGGTAGCAGCCCCTCCCACCTTACAGTCCCTTCAGACAGACAGGTAGCAGCCCCTCCCACCTTACTGTCCCTTCAGACAGACAGGTAGCAGCACCTCCCACCTTACTGTCCCTTCAGACAGACAGGTAGCAGCACCTCCCACCTTACTGTCCCTTCAGACAGACAGGTAGCTAGTAGCTAATGGATAAGTTAGCTCAAGGTTTAGCTAAGGTAATGTATCATGGGCATACAGGCTAATGTACTTAAGGGGAGAGACTTAAAGTGAATACAGTCAAATGTGTATCTCCTAGCGTCATCACATTGATATGCAAATGAGCCGTTAACTAGGCCTGATTAAAATGCGGTTACCAAGGCATTGCAGGTGAAAAGGATCAAACTAAAAAACACATCACCTCACAACTTCCCCAGATAGTCACTGACCTCAGGTCAGTGTTTCCCCTGAAATGTTATGTTTAAATGCAGATTAGCTTTAAATCTAGAGATGAATTCAGACATGGCAGTGAAACGAACACCATGTATGCTTCTTGGAAGTTTTATTTCCATCAGAGTGAAAGAAAACATGGAAGCAAAATAGACCAAAATAACAAGTACATGAAAAAACGATCTTTTCGCCGTAATGTCCTCAAACAGTAACTCCATCATTTTGATGGTTGGCTGCTCATTTAATAACTTCATTTGACTAGTTTGTTGTCTGCTCTTGTGCATTGAGAATACTAAAGAAGACCATTGTCTCCGTTAGCTGATTATTTTGTAGAATTCTGTTGAGTATTAAACAATTGGGTGAGTGTGAGGGTATTCAAATAAACTGGTCAGTGAGTCAGAGATGTGCAACTATTTAACTTTTTGTTTTAAAACATTTTTTTATAAATGATTATGGGAAGTGCCCTTTTTCTCACTTGAGCACCCGCCCCCCAAAATGTCTGTGCACGTCCCTGACTGTACAGTTATTGTTGAGTTATTGTCAAAAAAATGAAAATATCTGCCAGAATAAACACCTTAATTTATCTTTAAATGTCCTTTAGCCGACATGCCAATCCAGAAGGTGGTGCTATACATATTAAAGTTAAGGTTGTTTTGATATTTAGTGTATTTCGGGGGGTTATTTATAAGCCGAATTAACCACACAATGCCATTTATTTAATATAAATATAGATTACTCCTCTAGGGTGTGTGTATTTCTGGAATTAGAGGATTAAAGATGTAATTATGTGATGTTTTAATGGGGTTTGGTGGAGAGCGCTGTGACAACAATAGCATCAGACTAGCTTGTTATTGTGTCTGCATTGAACACAACACACACACATTAGGTTCTCTCACACACACACACACACACTTGTCATATATCTAATAATAGCATGATGATATTTATAATTATGCTGCTCTTACCTCCAGAAGGATCCAGAGAGAGAGCACCGCCCCGGGCAGAGGGTTCCTCATTGCTCCGCTGAAGGAGGGCGAATCTGGGGGAGAAAAGGCCGAGGAGGAGACGCTCCGCTCGGATCAAAAGGACCGGGCCATGCCGCTGCAGACACCCGGAGATCAGCTCCTCTGGCCGGGGAACACAGCTGCGGAGAGCCGGGGAGAAAACACGGTCCTCAGACAGATTAATGCATGCTGGGAAACTGCATCAGATGTGATGAGGGATCAAACCACGCCCCTTTACAGCACGGAAACAACACACACACGCACGCACAACACGCACGCACACACACAGGTATATCTTTAGTTATAATAATGAGGAAGTTGCAAGCAGGGGCGGCGCCAGGGGGGAGCTAGGGGGTGCTGAAGCACCCCCCGGGATTGCCAAAGCACCCCCAAGAAATATGTGGGTTTTTCTTTTTTTCGAAAATTATTATTATTATTTTTATTAAATTAAATTAGAAAAAATATTGATTCCATCAATGCAAATGTGAAACAAACACATTTTTTTACCAAAAACATAAAGCCAACACAGGTGATATGATTAGGCCAATGGCCAGCACCCATTCAATTTTTGACCTACCCATAGGCTAAATTACTTTGTGACACTTGAGTGACTTCCTGTTAGCTAGAGCGCCACATTATTTGCTAACAGCAAAGTGAAACATTTATCGTTTTTTAGTCCTTAAACGTCCACGTGTGGACACTCAATCAAAACCACCTGAAAGCGAGAGGGATTCTGCACATAATAGCCTCGTGAGTACAAGTAGCTTACTTCTGGGTCTCTGTGTTTCATTCAAGCTCTGCTCTGTGTGTGTGTGTGTGTGTGTGTGTGTGTGTGGGTGTCTGTGTGTGTGTGTGTGTGTGTGTGTGTGTGTGTGTGTGTGTGTGTGTGTGTGTGTGTGTGTGTGTGTGTGTGTGTGTGTGTGTGTGTGTGTGTGTGTGTGTGTGTGTGTGTGTGTGGTGTGTGTGTGTGTGTGTGTGTGTGTGTGTGTGTGTGTGTGTGTGTGTGTGTGTGTGTGTGTGTGTGTGTGTGTGTGTGTGTGTGTGTGTGTGTGGGTGGGTGGCACGAGCCATTTTGTGTGCCTGCGCGAGCGAGTGAGAGAGAGAGCTCGCGCACCGGTGGGTATCTACCGGAGATCGTTGCAGTGGTGGTTCTAGACCAATTTGACTGGGGGGGCCACTGGGGGGCCAGTTATTTTCTGAGGGGGGCAATAAATACAGGACGAAAAAGAGAACTAGACAGTATGAAGTAATTGCTCATAAGAAAACAATGCAATACAGTTATTGGTATTTGTTTCAGTACACTTATTTATTTCAGATAGATCTTATAGTTATTACTGTTAGCTTCAGCTTAAGTTATAGTGCAATGTTTGCACTAGCACCATATTTATATAAAAATAAAGGCACTGAACAGTTACATCTCTAGTTTACATAAGGGTGTCTGCACAATCTCACATTACAGCAACAAAATCCTGAGTACCAGAAAATATACATTTAAAAAGGGGAGTGATTTGTAAAATATCTATAAAGAAATAGAAAATCTGTTTACAGTACTGTTTCATCTGGGTGTTGAGAGATGTTTCCATAGATCTCTTCATGTTGCTCTCAAAGTGCACCAGATTGATGCTTTTAACTTCAATATGTAGAGGAGGTGAGGTCCACTCCCCACACAAAAATTGCACTTTACCCCTGCTTACACCTATATGCCGTGAGCTGATTACCGAGCCTTCATTGAAACAGTCGTGTGTGTGTGTGTGTGTGTGTGTGTGTGTGTGTGTGCATCGAATATTTTTCAAGGCAAAGATACGTTAAACCCACTGCAGCCTTGCACTTCGCCAGGAGAGGTCGCTGTACCTGAAGCTTCGAGAAATTAACCTATTTCCGACACAATTGTCCAAGTGGTTCGATGCTTCATTCAAAGCTTCATTTTGCCATCACTACCCGGTTCAACGTAACCTGGATATGTTTGAGTTTGCCGGTTGGCCTAATCCAAAACATACGCGCTCTCGCTAAGCGGTCCTACGACGCTGGTTATCAAGTGGATCGCTCAAGCCAGCCGTGTCCTATCTAGCTAGGTGCGCGTTCACGTGAGAGGGGTGGTATCTGGAGCATTCGACCAATCACAGACATGGAGAAGCGCACTGACAGCGCAGCGTCATACTTCCTGAATGAACAGTCAACTATAATATTAGACATATGAAGAAGTTAAAGTTTAAACATCCATGACTTAAACACTTGATCCAGGATCAAAGCCACAGAGCTGCACCTGCAAGGTGAACACAGCTGGGAACAGAACAAGTGTTTGAATGTGTACATTAACAGCTTTATGATATCACTGCCCGTCTAAGACACCATCTGACTTTCATTACATTTGACTCCAGTGTTTCGTCAACTTAATGTGTTGCTTCAAATAATGCTTCTGCATCCAGTCTGTGACGCTGTGAGTGTTGCACGGCCTGATACGGCTCAGCTGACTCAGATCAGGAGATGATACATTATGAAGTGATATGGACTGTACTTAATGTGACTCTGATCCGGTTACTTATGTTGTGGCAGATATTTAAGTAAGCTTTCTTAACGCTAATGTTATAATAGTCAGATTGCTCTGAAGATGGAGCTGATATTCTATTCATGTTCACGTTCACACAGTCGCTGATTGTTGCCGGCCGTCTTTCCTGCGACGGCAGCTTTTCTGTATTTCCTTTCTCCTGTAATATGACTTGATCGCTTTAAACTCACACACTGAGCTCTGATTGGTCAGCAGGCGGTGCTTTCACTGAGTTGATCTCTTAGCCTGCAACCTAACCTGCTCCGGAGCAGGTTAGCCGCTCAGCATCAGTTACCATGGAGATCTAGCCGCTAAGAAGAGAACCAGCTTCGTAGGACCGGAAACCCAGAGTTACCCTGAAGTTAGCCGCTAAGAGAACATCCGGCTTCGTAGTACAGGCCTCTGGTGTAACGTGAAGGACACAGGGTAAACAACAACAACAAACAATATTGTATTTTAATGACATTGCATCCCCAAATGCCTATTATTACAAAATAACTTATATATTTACTATTTGCTCTGTGTAAGTTTGAGTTGTTGATGCCGTTTATTAGTTGGAATATAAATGTAAATAAACCTTTAAATTACTTTCTTCTTTTCTATCTCTTGATGGTGTTTTATACATAGTGTAAAAACAGGTGTAAAAGATACTAAACCATCACACTTTGGGCACTTCCTTCACATGTGCTGTAACATAAGGACGGGTGCTGCCCTCTGGCGGGGTCTGCAGGTATTGCAGCTGCTGCACAAACATGTTGACAGCAGAAGAAACAATCTATTTATACATTTAAAAACAACAACAACAGCATATTGTCAACATGCACACTGTGGAGAGCAAGGACATGAATAACGGAGGTTAATGATGATTATATAGGTAATAAGCGACACATTTAGTAGCATAGAGTAACATGTATTACACATTGCATGAAGCCCCTGTGAAGGTGAGCTAAAAAAGGTTTCAGAGAAAGTTAGTAAACAGAAAATTATTACATGTTTGTTGATAAAAAAACAACAGTGGCATCAAGTAAACAAACTGATAATTACAGGGGAACATAGTAATACTAATAAATACACGTTTATCATTTTAAACACTATTTAAAGTATTTGTATAGTTGTTCATGAGGACATCTTGGTCTTGCAACGACAACTTTTTTTAAATGAGAGAAAAAGGTGAAACATTACAATTACATGAAAAAGTGAAAAAGTGAAATAATCATAAATCACAGATGTGTTTCTTTGCAGATTAAAGACCAACTACATGGTTTTAACACCCATTAAATGTCTGTATTTACTGTGTAAAATCACACTGCAGTACCGTGTTCTGACACCAGATGGCGCAGGACGTTAAATCAGGGACCCTCTCTCTAGATAACTCTTTGACATTTGATAGATTGATATTTATATTTAATAAATACAACTGCTCGTATCTTCTGAATCACAGCTCACTAACATACAGAAGATAATATAGGAGAAGACACTACAGCTCCCTCTAGTGGCGAGGTTCATGCACCCAGGAGCCACACACACACACACACACTCACAACCACACACACTCACACACACACACACACACACACACACACACACACACACACTCACACACACACACACACACACACACAGACACACACACACCACACACACACACACACACACACACACTCACTCACGCACACAAACACACACACACACACACACACACACACGACACACTAGCACACACACACACACCACCACACACACACACACCACTACGACACATCCACACACCCACACCACCCACACACACACAACACACCACACACACACACACACAACACACACAGACACACACACACACACCACACAAACACCACACACTGACCACCACACACCCACACTAACCCACACACACCCACTCCACACACACACTTCACACACCACACACACCACCACTCACACACACACACACACACACCACTGACACACACACACACACACACTCACACACACACACACCGCGCACACACACACTCTCAACACACACACGCACACACACACACACAACACACTCACACACACCACACCCCACACTCTCACACACACACACACACACTCACCAGTAAATCACACCACACACGCACACACCACACACACGCAACACCACAGTAAAGCACACACACAACGTCACATCACCACACCAGTCATCCACAGGACACACACAACCACACAGTTTAATCACACACGCACACACCACACACACACCACACACCACACACACACACACCACACACACACACACACAGTAAATCACACTTTGCTTCCAATCTTTGTAGAAATATTTTTCGTAATTGTCTTATTAATCTTTTATTGCATATTCTTTCTTTAAATCCGTATAGTTATATTTATCTATTTTACTGTCAATCTTATTTTATGGACATTTAACTTCGGTGTGTAAATAAATATATGTATTAAAACACATTTGAATGCATTCTTTAAAGTCGCACAACCCCAATTCACCCCTTGATAACCCCATTAGGAAGGGTTAGGCAGCTTCCTGCCTGTGCTAAAGTAGATGAACCTCCCCTCCCCCTCTCAGCTGTATATGGGGGGGGGGTCAGCTGCTCAGTGTATTTATGGGCAGGGTGAAAATGTCTCCAGTGACGCCTCGGCAGAAGGTTTCTAAAAACAGACCTGACACAGCGAGGCCTCTGGAGCTCTCACTCTCTCTCCGCTCTGATACTTTGGGTTACTTTGGGTTACTTTGAGTTAGTTTGGGTTACTTTGAGTTAGTTTGGGTTAGTTTGAGTTAGTTTGGGTTAGTTTAAGAGTTAAAGCAGTGGATTAATCTACTGGTTTGCACTATGAACTCCATGGAGAACCTGGAGAAGCAGCTGATCTGCCCGATCTGTCTGGAGATCTTCACCAAGCCAGTGGTGATCCTGCCCTGCCAACACAACCTCTGCAGGAAGTGTGCCAACGACGTGTTCACGGTAAAAACACTGCGTTCATATCCATCTAAAGATATCTATACTTCTCTGGTTTGTTGCGTTTAAAGGTCACTAACTATCAGAGAGCGTAGTAAACACACTCAAGTGGAAGTACACATACTCGTGTTTAAAAATACTCTGGTGAAAGTAGAAGTACTGACTAAACTTCTTTACTCAAGTCAAAGTAAAGAGGCTTTGAAGTGTACTTCAGTAGAAAGTACCCATAACTAGCAGCTGCTTTAAAGAGTACCTGACCTCCCTTTATATTAATAGAACAATAATGTCATTGTTAGCTAATGAATGTTTCCATGCTGAACAACGGCAACATGACAACGTTTCCATTGGTCCCTCTTCTTTATAAAAATAAGTAGAGTAAAGTACTGATACCAGAAACATGTACTTGAGTACAGTAACAAAGTATTTGTACTCCACTACTTCCCACCTCTGCTGCATTAAATCAATGTAAATACTTCTATATTTCTCTGTTGTGTTTAATGTTCTCTAAATATGGACCGGAGGAGCCGGGGGGTTTCTGTTGAAGCCGTCGCTCTGACAACACGAGCGCATTATTCTCCATCAGGAAGATTCTGTCAGAATCGAGAAGACTGTGATTACAAGCGGTGTTCAGATCATAAATCACAACCACTGACAAAATGCTGCAAATCTTTAACAATTGGAAGTTAAATGCCAAAAAGAATCTAATATTTGTTCATCTTGTGCTGTCCTTTATACGGTCATGTGTGTTAGTTTGCCTGCATTCAATAATAACACAACAGAAAACATGATAATATGCTCATATAATAATATATGATCAGAAAGACAGAACATCTGAGTGTGTTAAGTCTGAAGAGATAAGGCTGTGTTTAAAAGCACTGTTTATATTAATAATCACAACCACTGAAAACAAGCTGGGTAACACTGTATTTTGATCGTCCATAGTTAACACTCTAAGTCATCAGCTGACATTCAACAACACTGTTCAACAGACAAGTAACATGCATTTCACTGCCAGTAGAATATAACCAACATCTCAAGTGTTGATCTATAGATTTGACAAAAAGTGTTTGTTGACTGTCAACATGTTTTTTGCAACAGGTTATTAACCGATATTAACCTTACTATCTGTAGATTGTGTCAACATCTTCAAAATTGACAAACTACTCAAAATCAATCTGTCAGTTGAAAGTCAACAGCTGACTATCTGCTGATAATCTGCTGAGTCAAGATGTCAACTAAAGATTACATTAAGCATTAGTTGATCAACAGATAAGCAGCTTTACAGTTTAGTTGACCATCTGTATACTAATGGCGCGTTACCACTGCAGCGGGTAGCTCGCTTTAAGCGTGCCGAGCCGAGCGGGGCCCGTTTTTGGTTGCGTTTCCACTTGGCCTAGCACCGGCTAGCGGGTCCTAATTCAGTTTTTCTGGCCCCATAAAATGGTGGTTCTAGGGCCAGGAACAACCAGGCTGAGTCGGGCTGAGTATGCTAAACTAGAGAGAGAATCGCTGGCAAGGCGGCTACAACTACAACAAGATGAACATATTTGACTGATTTAATTGTAATACACGTTTCTAAATGATGCCGAAGTAACAACATACTGATACCGGTTAGTACAAACCATGAGTTAATGCTTTGACAAGTCTGCAGACAGACGGCAGAGAAACACCTTTTAAAATGCGTGTTTTTTAAATGTAGCTTGGCTAAGCTAACGTTATATATGCTCCGACCGTCCACACTCACAACAACGGCCTACAGACATAAATAAAGCAGCGACTGTATTCTCCATGACACAGGCAGTCTGTGGTTTGTACTTGTTTAACTCTAGTTTCTGAACAGAAATGAGGAGCTGTGAGCTCTGAGGGCTAACAGCTAACGGCTGTGTATTTTTTCTGGGGCTCTCATTGAAGATGACGTCACGGCTCCGCCTACACTGCGTTACTATAGTAACTGCCCCAGTTCCTAAACTGTAATGGAAGCACAGCATAAAGTGAGCTGGGCCTAATAAGGCCTAACCAAACCGAGCGAGGCCTGCAGTGGCAACGCGCCCTTATAGTAGGCATTCTCCACTAAGCGTTTGTAGGCCTGTGTGAGGAGGACTATCCAATTCAAGTGAAAACAGTTGAGAACAGTAGAAAGTCTATAACCAACAGAACACATTCATCCACTAATGATATGCAACAGATATGGGAATAAAGCTAAATGTTTTGCACAACTGATCACGAACACTGGATAACTGAAGTAATACCAGGCACCGAACAAACACTAGATGCAGCATATCAGAGAAAGAAAGCTCTTTATTTCAAGAATATGTTAATACATTTAATTAAAATGTTATTATTTCAAGTTTGTTTAAAAGCACAACACATTAAGATGGACTTTTATTAATCCGCGTGGGGAAATTGTTTCTCTGCATTTGACCCATCCTAGTGTTAGGAGCAGTGTGCTGCCATTTTGAACGGCGCCCGGAGAGCAGTGTAGGGAACGGTGCCTTGCTCAGGGACACCTCGGTAGCACTTGGTCTTGCCGGGACTTGAACTGGTGACCTTCCAGTTGCCAAGCCAAGTCCCTATGGACTTCGCCACCACCGCCCCAAATTCAATTCAATTCAAAACCTTTATTTATACAGATAAAACCCATTGAGATCATAGACCTCTTTTACAATGGTGACCTGCTTCAATTAGTTCCAAACATTAATACAAACATGACAGAAAACAAAGGACAGTATATGATACTACAGTTTGTATACTAGTAGCACTGATTGTATAGCGTCTATCCTAGCTTTAAAAACATGAAATGGAATCAAACTGCTTAGCTTCCATTCCTTTTGTAGACTGTTCCATGCTAGCGGCGCTGCACATCTAAAAGCTGTATTTCCTAATACAGTCCTAGCAGTTGGCACATGTAATACAACCACAGCTTTAGATCTCAGGCAGTAGCCATTTACAATACGCTGTGAGATCAGGGAACAGATGTAAGACGGAAGTTTCCCTAACATTGCTTTATAAATAAAAAGATACCAGTGATTTAGCCGCCGTACAGTAAGTGAAAGCAACCCTGCCCTTGTATACAGGGTACAATGATGAGTCAAAGTCTTACAGTCTGTCACAAACCTTAGTGCACTATGATAGGCGGCATCTATCTTGGTGAGGTAATTGGCCGGCGCATTCATATAAAATAGATCACCAGAGTCCAGCACAGGTAAAAAGCTCACAGAGCCTTTTCCTGGCCTCAAGAGAGAAACAGGACTTGTTTCTATAAAAAAAACCTAGCCTAACCCTCAGTTTTTTAAGCAGGTTATTTACATGCAGTTTAAAAGAAAGACAGTCATCAAGCCAGATACCAAGGTATTTGTAAGAGGTTACCACTTCAAGTTTTTTTCCTTGCATGGTTACAATATCTAAAACAGGCTCTGGTGACTTTTTAGCTTTTGAAAAGAGCATTAACTTGGTTTTATCCACATTTAAAAGAAGCTTAAGCGCTGAGAGCTGAGTCTGAACAGTGTTAAAAACAGTCTGTAATTTAACAACAGCCTCCTTAACTGAGGTACCTGCACAATACATCACAGTATCATCCGCATAAAAATGTAAGGTAGCTTCCTCCACATTATCACCCAAGCTATTAATATAAATGGAGAATAAAAGTGGACCTAGAACAGAACCCTGAGGTACACCATTAGAAATGCTCAACCACTCAGAAGTGAGCCCATCAAAGTGTACACATTGGGACCTTTCAGAGAGGTAGTTCACAAACCACCCCACTGCCAGGCTGGACAAGCCAATGCTGAGTAGCCTCTGTTTTAAAATGCGATGATCAACGGTGTCAAACGCTTTAGAGAGATCAATAACAGAGCTGCACAACTCTGCTTATTATCTAAAAAACTAGTGATGTCATTTACAACTTTCATTGTGGCAGTGATGGTGCTATGTTTTTTCCTGAAGCCCGACTGATGTTTCGACAGGATATCATTTATACATAAAAAGTCCTTTACTTGCTCACTCACTAGTCGTTCAAGCACTTTAGCCAGAACTGACAATTTCGAGATTGGCCTGGCTATAGTTATTTAAAATAGTTGCCTCCCTTCCTTTCAGTAAAGGCAAGACATAAGCAGACTTCCATACTTTAGGAATTGTATTTGTGCTAAGGGAGAGGTTAAAAAGAGAAGTAAGCGGTGGAGCAATAACATCTACAGCTATCTTTAAAAAGAAAGGTTCTAGGTTGTCCGGGCCAGCCGGTTTCCTAGGATCTAACTTGGATAAAACATCATGGACAACACCAACAGTAAAAGGGGTAAAACTGAAAGGGTTTTCCAGACCACATTGTTCAAGGATTGGAGCGTTCACAGAAGCAGAAGCACAGTCAGTGACAGAATCAAACAGCGAGCCACAAGACACAAAATGCTTATTAAAACAATTGAGCATAGTAGCCCTGTCTGATATAATGCCAGATTCTGTGGTAAGGCATGGAGGTAGCTCATTTGGAATATCACCAGTGGAAATCGATTTTATGGCTTTCCAAAATTTCCTAGGATTATTCAGATTTTCTGTGGAAACTGACAGATAGAACTTTGATTTAGCACTTTTTATTTGTGATGTGAAGCTATTCCTTAGCTGCCTAAAGCGTAGCCATTCTACCTCTGAGCCTGATTTCCTAGCCTTAGCCCAGGCATTGTTTCTCTCATGAAGGAGACTGGACAGTTCAGCGGAAAACCAGGGATTGTCTCGACCCTTCACTCTGAAATTACGCAGAGGTGCATGTTTATCTATAATTTTCATAAAACCAAGATAAAAATAAGACCATGCAGTTTCTACATCCGCACACAGATTGATCTTACCCCAATCAAAATCAAACAGATCGTGTAAAAAACCCTGCTCCACAAAGTGTTTTTTATCTCTCCTTGTGATAATGCGTGGTTTCACTTTTTGGATCTTAGTGTCCCTAATGAACATACATGGAGACACATGGTTATGACTTGATGGTTATAACTGCATCTGGCTCGTGGGCA